ATGGAAAGACTAAACTTCTGGCAAGAAATGGAAACTTTTTTCTTTCCCATCTGTACTTGGAGAGGGTCTTATTCCAGTAACAATGATATTCTTAGCATAGCATAAATAAAGGAGAAGAAGAAATAAGCCATTTTATTCTATCTTCAAGACTTTGCCTTTGGATTCATTTTATTTACCAGTAAATGTCAAGGTAAAAATCCTTAGTTATATTTTCCATTAGGAAGCAGAAAACATGGATAAACAGAAATGGATGAAAATAGAAAATGAGCCTAAAGAGAAATAAAAAGGATGCACTGCCTTTTATCATTACCTCTCTTAAATGACCTTTCCTGGGTTTCCATTGATGGAACTGATGTGTGGGTTTTGTTAGAGCTGCCCAGCCCTGAGGAATTAATCTGTTGACACAGAGCTCTGATAATAACAAAGAAGTCCTTGACAAATAATTGTGCACTTTGGTTAATACAGCACTTAGGCTCTTTCCTAGGAAAACTCACTTTGCAGTGGAGTGAGATCCTTCTCCCCCTGAAACACTGTGATCTAGCTGAGGAACAAAGAGCAGAGCCTTCATCTGCTCTGCTGTAAATCAGGCTCAGTCTGGTAGCCACTAGAACTGGATGGATTCTCTCCAGCTGAGAAAACAGCTCCATTTTCATCTCCCAGCCTTCAGCCCTTGCAGGCTGTGTGCAGCAGCCTCTTCCCTGCTTGATTCCCAGCTCATGTCCCCTCTCCTGGGCAAACTGCCCCCATCATCCCCACGAGCTGTGGTCTCAGGCCCAGCAAGGACAAATAGACAATTAAAACCCCATCTGATTATGCACCGAAAATTGATCTTCAGATCAATTCAGAAATAGTTAAAATAGTTTACTCAGACATCTCTGAGTGCTGCTAAAAGACCCTACTGAGCCAAGTGTCTTTCTGAAATGGAGTTCAGAGTGCCATCAGAGTGGGGGTTTTTTTAAAGAAATCATTAAAAGTGAACACACTGAAATGTGCTTCTAGAAAAGAAAGTATTTTTCTGTGACCACATTTTCCTCTTCTCCCTTGGATTTTTTGCTTGCTAAGATCTGCATTGTAGGGGTGACCCTATCCAAGTCTTGGAGATCTCTCAGAGAAACCTAAAGAGAGACAAAATGTTGGTGCCTTCAAACATTTTTGAGTTTCCATAGCCTGCAATGTCACAGAACCTCATTGACACAGCCCCATTCACTTCATTGAAGCTCATGTGGGATAACTTCTGAAGATCAGTGGAATATTTGTGTGGGCAACTGCTTCAAGTCCAAGCCCTGTTAGCTCAAAGCCACTCATTTAAAATATGTCAAATGAACCACTGTTGAAAAGTTTCCACTTCTTTGCAGTGAATACAAATAGATCTTGGGATAACCAACTGCTTAATCAGACAAGAAATGATGCCAACCCAGCTCAGTTCCTTATGCTCTTGCTCTTCTAATCCTCACTCTGGGATGGAACTGATTTATAGCCAAGGCCAAATCAGTTGTTTTTTTTCTCTTAGGTACTAAATCCAGAATGGGGAAGAATCAGTTATTCCTTTTCCTGGAGAAACTGTGGGATGAAGCCAGCAGCAGGAGCTGTGTGTGTAACAGGAATGCACCCATGTCCTGTTCTGCTGCAGAAACAGCTGGGCAGAGAAACTTAGGAGAAAGTGGAAAACTTTCTCCTAAGTAGGGAGATAGAATGTAAGAAAATAAAGATAGTGTAGAAAGTAATCTTATCCCTAAGGAGTTGCAGCTGGGCCAATTATCAAAGATTAGGAATAGGCCTTTACCAGGCCACAGCTGTAACCAGTGAGAAGAAGATGCTATAAAAGAGTGGGGTGGGCCCTTGAGAAGGGAACTGGAGTCAGTTGGCTGCTTTGTGAAGAAGAAAGAGTGAGTGCTCTGAGGAGCTGCCCACAAGGACCACCAAGAAGGTCTGAAACTTTTGTGATAAGGAGACAACAGTATGGAACCCCTGCAATGAGATGACAACAGAAAACCAAGCCTTGAAGGAGCTTCGCACATTCTAAAGGAGATTCTAAAGCCAAAAGGAGCTGTGTGAAGCGGTCCAGGTGGAAAAAGATTGTCCTTCTGGGATGTCCCTGCTAGCTATCCAGCACTGTTGGCAGTATGGGGGCACTGTCCCGGTCTCCATGGTTCGGGACAGTACCTAAGGCAAACGCTCTGTGCTGTGACAGCAGCGTGACCTTGTGGTAGGACATGGCTTGGCTTGTGGCTACAGTCAGCAGAAATCAGAGAGTGCTCTCCAGCTGTGGTGAATCCAGATTTATTGGGTCCCAGGGGAAACCAACAGCCAAAGAGACCGAGGGAGCGGTTGCAACAGTTTATAAGGAGGGAGGGACACAGGGGAGGAGTCAGTCCTTGGACCAATAGGGTTTCAGAGGGGAGTGGGATACAAAAGATTGACTTAGGGAGAACACCAATGGGGATAACTTGAGGGTGGGGCCCTGGCCCCTGAGCCAATCACTTGATGCTCTAGCTGGAAGTCTCTAGAGAGTTCTAGAGAGAAGGGTGGGAGCACCAAGTGATGGACAGGGCACTGGGGAGGGATTTGAGAAAGGGCACCTTGATCTCAAGGCAACTGGGGAGGAGTTGGGATAACTGGCAGCATTAAGGAGAGAAGGGAGAACCAGGGCAGAACCATTGCATGATAGGGGAACAGAACAGTCCAACTTACACAGACACAACACAAGAGTTGTGAATTATTTTTCTAAGCTCCCTTCATGTACTGAAAAGGCCAGAGGATTCTCCTGACTCAGTGGTGGTCCCCTGCATCCAAGCCACCACCTCTTGGCATCCAAGCCACCACCTCTTGGGTGCATACATGAGACCCATTTTTCCAGCACCTTCCTTCCAGCTCAGGATACTCTCCTTCCCCCTGTCCCATTCACCAGCCTTTAAAAAAAACCCCAATTCTCTGGTTTGCAGGAAAAGGCAGACTGGTAAAAGACTACAACAATGATGGAAGAAGCAGAGTCAAAGTCACTTTGAAGTTCAGATGAGATTACTCAGGAGGAAGATTCAGTTTGAGTGGCCAATGCTGCTGTTACCTTCTCCTAGAAAATGGACTTAGAAATTATGTTCTGGCAGGGTTCCTTAGACACCTGGGCAGTTTTTTAAGTCAGCACTGAGGAATCTGCCTTCCTGGTGCTCCTGCAGAGAGGTGAGGTCTCTCACCAGCTTTGTGTCACATGTGCCAGTGCCACTCACAGGCTTCAGGGGTGCCTCAGGTGCTGCTCTGCTCTGGGCTTGGGCAGCTGAACTGGGAGAATTAAAACCAGACTTTTATAGGATGAGAGTGTTTTCTGGTGAAAGAACTCCCAGAATTTTCAGCTAGCAATTCTTCTGGACTGATGAATCACGCCTCTGCAAATGAATTTCACAAAAGGCCAGAATCCCTCATTTTCTGATGCAGGCTGTGGCAATTTGAATTTCCAGTTCAGATGGCAGAATGCTGTCACATTGAAGCAGGACTCATGAAACTTGAAATGCCTTCTTCAGCCCAGCTCATCACTATAATGCCATGTGATCAGCCCCACTGATATTTGGAATTTTCTCTTACCTTGGAGTCTGTAATTCAGTCTGGCACTTTTCATTACAATTGCAAAACTGGCACATTTTGGATTGATGCCTTTTTTGCACCCTTGTTAGAAATAACTCAAGCATAGCTCTGAGCTGATAGAGAACCTCAAGATTCAGCAGCAGAATTGCAGAGGGAAGTTTTCATTCTGTGGGTGAAGGTCACCCCCATTCACCTCCTGTTGGGCAGAGTCTGCCTGAACATCTCTCTTTGTGTTACTGAGACACAGGGCAGGCACCAGTGTGAGGAGTTTAAGATTCAATTCAAAACCTCAGATATGGAGCTGCTTTTGTTGCTGATAAATAAAGCATGAACCAGTATCAAGCTCTTAATATGACAAAAAACAAATCTGAGAAGAACAAGCACACAGGCTGCAGTGCTTTGTTTACTTCTTGTACTCCCCAGGGCCCTGCTCTGCTGAGGAAATCATTTCCAAAAACGCCGTGTTAACTCCTAGAACAGCATTTTTGTATCTCACATAGGGTGTTTACACAATTCCCAGTGCTGCCAGTCTCCCAGAGTCTGCTCAGGTGTTTTATTGCTCCATTTGTTCTGAGCCATGGAGCAGGAGCCACAGGGAATGCTCTGATGGATGCCAAGATATGTAAACATTGAAATACACCCCATAGCATGGGGAAAAAGGAGCATATTTTGAGAACACCTTTCAGTTGGCAGCTCTGCTGGGGTGTTTGTAAATATTCAGATGTCAATCACAGAATTTTTCCATTCAGGGGCTGATAAATGCCAGGAGCCCCTGGGATTGTGTGTCAGGTAAATATTTTTTCCCAAGCTGTGCTGGGACTTCAGCAGTTGTGTAGTTCTGACAACTTTGGGACAGACCCATGTCTTGCAGGCTGCCCTGCTTTATGCTCTGAAAGCAACTCCAAACCTGCTCCTAAGAGCCAAATCCTTCCACTGATCACAGCCTAAAAATCAATCTTCTCTTCGCTTTGTTGGGTTTTTTCATCTCCTGTTTGCACTATGCAAGAAAGTTGCCAGCAGTAATTAGATAAAATACCAGTTCTCAGTGGTGAGGCTGCAGCACAAATAATAATTAGCCAGCTCAGCAGATTGAAAAGGGGAGTGGCAAATCCATCAATCCCACCTTTAGTTCCTCATTGTACCCAGAAAAGGAGAACAGGCAGTAAAAAGAAGCTCTTTCTTAGGGCAATAATGTACTCCATTTTCACTGCTGTTTTGGAAGCATTAAGAGTTGTTGGATCTTTGCTGTATAATCTGGTATTTCTAGTAAACTTCTGAGTCTGTTGCAATCAGTGGTAAAGCCAAAAGGCTGTTTTCAGTCAGATTGAAACTATAAAATGTGCTTTTTAAGGTGTATCATATCCTGCAAGCCATTATTTTACTGACTGGTTGCATTTTTTTCCTCTCTCTCCCTTCTTTTCCAGATCAATTTTGTATTTCTATTTAACATAGTTAGGATTTTAATGACAAAGCTGAGAGCTTCAACCACTTCAGAAACAATCCAGTACAGGTAAGTCAGCTTGTGATTTCTGGTGCTAACAAAGCTCTGCCTTGATTGTCCTGTCCTTGTCCCATCTTTGTCTTTCCAGGTGCCACTGTTGATGGAACTCATAAATTAGGCCCACAGTATTTATGTGTGCAGGCTCTCCAGAAAAGCCTCCCTGCGTTTTTCTGTCCACTCCATTTCAGTTCAGGCATGCCCCCACACACAGAGAATCCCCTCCTTTCCATGAAATCTGAAGGATTTGGTCTCATGTGAGGACAGATTTACCCATTTCTGTGTGTACACAAATGTTTATAGAGTAAGTGCTGCATCCAGCTCTGGGCTGCCCAGCACAGGAAGGACCTGGAGCTGCTGGAGCCAGTCCAGAGGAGGTACCAGGATGATCCCAGGGATGCAGCAGTGGGGAGAGGATGGGAGAATTGGGATTGCTCAGCCTGGAAAAGGCTTTGGGGTGACAGAATTTTAGCCTAAAGGGAGCCTGCAAGAGGGTGGGGAGAGACCATTGACAAGGGTCTGGAGTGACAGGACAAGGGGAAATGGCTTCAAACTGACAGAGAGTAGGTTTGGATGGATATTAGGAAAAAACTCTTCCCTGTGAGGGTGGGAACCTGGCACAGGGTGCCCAGAGAAGCTGTGGCTGCCCCTGGATCCCTGGCAGTGTCCAAGGCCAGGTTGGACAGGGCTTGGAGCAACCTGGGACAGTGGAAGGTGTCCCTGCCATGGCAGGAGGTGGAACTGGATGATCTTCAACCTTCCAACCCAACCCTGGAATTCTGTGATTGATGTATTGTGGTGGTTTGACAGGAAATGTGTTTTTTGGGATGCCAGTATTAAAATCTGAATATCCATTGGCCCAACCATAGCATCCCAAAAAACATTTCCTATCAAACCACCACATGTATGCATACAGGTATTTAATGCTCCATTTAAAGTGTAGGGGAGGGGAACGAGGGGTGATTATGCCCCTTCCTTCCAGCTGCTGCCAGAATTAGTGTAACCACTCAGGGGCTTGTAGCACAGAACTGATCCTCAGCTAATCAATACCTTCATTTGGGTTTGGCTTCTCAGGGAAATGAGTTCCCACACCCAGCAAACCCACAAGCACTGGGATGGCAGAAAGGAAAAGGCAGGAGGGAAGGTGGCCTGGCCCCTGCAGACACCAGTGTGGGCTTAGATCAGCTTTAACAGCCTAAAAGCAAATTCTCAGACACCAGGAGATGCTGAGTGCCCTCCTCTTGTCATCTGCAGTATCTTGGAAGATATTTGAAGGACTTAGGGACTATCAGGTCCTTGCAGTAGGAAATGGCACAGGTTTTGTGGAGTGAGATCAGTCACTCTTAACTCATTTCTGGATAAAATCTCAGCATATCAAGCTGAGTTGCATCTTGATGTCCTCAAATCAGGCTTTGCACTTTGGAGGCAGTTTTGCTGCAGTAATGGGCTCTGTTGTTTTGCCTGATTCCTTCCTTTTGCTCCTGTCAGGGTTTTGTTAGTGAAGTTCATACAGGGGTCTGAAGTTCAGACCCTTCTCTGCACATTTCCTGAGAAATGAAGGGAAGAACATCCCTTTTTCTTGCTCAAACCTCATGCCATAAAACTAAAACTGGCCTGAAAAAGCCTTGATTCAAACCTCAGTACATTTTTATCCCTTCAGCAGCTTGCAGGGAGGCATTAGAGACATTAGAGTGAATCAATCTACAGCAACTACCATTGTTCCTGAACAGATGACAATGATCTTATCCTTGCAGGCTCTCTGAGGGAATTGTCTTTTCCAGCCTAAATGGAAACTTCCAGAATTCCAGCAAAGCCTTAATGCTCTAAGGCAGAGCAGTGCAACCCTTTGCTAAGCAGATATTAAATTCTGTGGCAGCTGGTTCCTTAAGGCTGGCACTTTATCCTGACACTGGTTTTGTGCTCCCCTGCCTGTCTTTATCTACCTGTTATGGCATTATCCAGGGATTTATACAGACTTAGCCAAATTTCAGCCTTTGTATTCATACAATGACATGCTGCTATCAGCTGACAGCCCAAGACACTGTTACAGCACCAATAATAAGGATTAGTTCCTCATAATTCTGTTACTCATTGATGATTATTGATGATCACTCTTTCACCACCTGCTTTGTGATTTGTGGTTCCTGAGACAGCCCTGAGCAGCTGAGTTGGGTGGGCAGATGTTGCAGAAAGTGTTTACACTGCAGACAGCATCAAATGCTGGGCACAGAGTGGGTCTCAGCTGAGCTGGGCACTGATCACATCTCCCTGGGGTGTCAGAAATCACTCAGCAAACCTGCACAGAATCCCAAGGCTGCAAGCCTCGCTGGTAGGAGAGAAAAGGAGGAAGAAAGAGAGGGATATAAATCAGGTTCCCATTCACCCCCTGGAGTTCAGAGAGTGGGGGAAGCAGCAGATTCAAAGGCTCAAAGGCTGTCCTGGGACACTTCCCCAGGTGGGCAGGACTGCCCAGGCAGGGAGGGTGGCACTCTGGCCCTGCTCCTCCTTTCCATGGATGTTCTTCCCTGTGTTCATGTTGTATTTTCAGGGTCCCCTGTCATGGGGAGGAATAATGAATCTGACTCCATGTTCTTAGAATTTATTATTATATTATATTATATTTTTTATATTTTATTTTTTATATGTTTATATTATATTATAATTATATTATGGAATACTATACTAAAGAATAGAGAAAGGATACAGACAGAAGGCTAAAAGATCATAATGAAAATTGTGACTCCTTCTAGAGTCCCAACACAGCCTGACCATGATTGGTCATTAAGTCAAAACAATTCACATCAAACCAGTCAAACACCCACCTGTTGGATAAACAATCTCCAAAGCAGCAAAACAGAGGAGAAGCTAATGAGATAATATGGTTTTCTTTTTTCTCTGAGCCTTCCCAGGAGCAGAATCCCAGGTAAAGAGGATTTTTCACACAATGTGACAGTGACAGTTCATTTGTTTCCTGTTCCCTGCCCACAGGAAGGCAGTCAAGGCCACGTTGGTTCTCCTGCCCCTGCTTGGCATCACCTACATGCTTTTCTTTGTCAACCCTGGCGAGGATGACATTTCCCAGATTGTTTTCATCTATTTCAATTCCTTCCTTCAGTCTTTTCAGGTAAGAGAGCAGGCTTACAGCTCTATCAGCTGAAAGCTCTATCCTCTATACAGCTCTGTCCTCGCTGCTTTTCAGCCATGAAAATGAAAATCTGTGATAGAAATTATAGTTGCAAATTGTTAGGAAGGATGAAAGTTTGACAAGAAAGTCTCACAGATATGTGTGCTTGGCAGAAAGATTTTTGAATGTAGAATCTGATGAAGGAATAGAAATGAAAGCAAGTTTTGATATAGAAGAAAAGAATTGCTGAGCCAGTCTCACTGGCTAACCAAGGAGGCAAAGGGTGTGTTAGTTAGAAGGGGTTTTTATGGCTTAGAGCAAAGGATAAACCCACCTCAAACAAGAAGATGTTTTTACCAAGCAGAAAGACAGCACAGGCAAACAAGTCAGCAAAGCTGCAAGTAAAAAAAAAGGTCTCAGAATTTTCCACTGCAAGAAAGCTGAAAAACAACTTCTAGCTTAAACTGTAATGTACTAACTTTTAGTGATTGGAGAACAGTAACATGAATATGGTAATTACAGTAGTTATGACAGGCTATAGATACTAGTTAAGGTATAGATTGGTTCTTCTGTATGAAGGTGCTCAGCAAAGGAAAGTATAGAATGCATTGTAACCAAAACCAAAGGGTCTGCAGGGCTGCCTGCAGCTGGAGCTGGCAGCTGTGGGCACAGGCTCTGTCACCCACACCCTGGGCTGCTGTAACATCTGGGATGCAATAAACTGCATTTGGAAGAACTGCCTGGAGTCCTACATCCCTCAGCAAATAGCTCAGCTTAGTTCACACAGGAACAATAGATGTACAAGAGTGTCATGTGGAGTGGGAAATCCTCTCAGGTGTGGACTGGAGGGATTCATCTCCCCTAAGTCAGCACTGAGTTCAGCTCCTGACATAAAATCAGTAGAGAGAGAGATGTTCCATTCCACCTGCCTGAGAGAGGATGAGGGGTCCCCCTCCTGAGGTGCCGCTCTCTTCCCAGGGCACACACTGGGCTCAGACTTGGACTCAGTGTTGCTAAACCAAAGGGAAACAGCTCCTTCCTGTTGGACTTGCTGCTCTATTTGGGTCCTAAGAGACTCCAGACAAGTTTATTTAATCCATCAGTCTCACCTTTAGTTCCTCATTGCACCCAGAAAAGGAGAAAAGGGAGTAAAAAGAAGCTCTTTGTTAGGGCAATAATGATATGTTGTTCTGTGCAGCCAACAGCCCATTATTTAATTAATGTTAGAAGTTATGTAATGTGGTGATATTTATTTTTAAGGGATGTTAGGAATTTATTTTAACTATTTTCTCTGATTCAGAAAAAAAAAGACATGGTGAGTGTAAGTTTAGAACTAGTTGGTTAAAAAGAAAGGAAGACAACAAAACATTAACCAGCAGCTTTCAGAGAAATTCCTGATATTTTCTATTATTCAAAGATCATTCATGTTTCAAGGGATGGATCACTGAACAAACTTTTGGTAGGAATTTCTCTGGGAGGAAAGGGACAGTGTTTCAGACACACTTGAGCTGTGCTGCCCAGCCTGCTCTGAGCCATCAGCCCCATCTCCTCCCTGCCCTGGATTAACTGGAGCTCTGGCAGGATGGAAAAGGCAGTGGAATGTGAGAAATTGCCCCAACTCTGTGAATCTGACACAAACCCAAAAACAACTGAACACCCTGAAGGATCTTTATCTTTAGCCACTCCTTTCTGCCCAGGTGGGTCCTGCAGCTTTACCTCCTGTACTAGGGTGGGAATTTGTTTTTACCTCCTGTGTGCAGGAACAAGTGCTCTGATGCCCAGGATATCACTGCAAACATGCAGCTGGCAAGCCAAATCTAGGGTTGGGTTAGTGCTCTTACTGATTGCATCCCACCAGAAATCACAGCTGAATATCCAAAATAAAAAATGTCCCCTTTAACCTGACAAGGGAGGAAGCTTGGCCTTTACCTGTGAAGTAATTCCACACTTTGATTCTCTAAAATTGATTGTATTTTTTATCTGCTGTTGCTCAGTATCTCAAAAAAATGCTGCATTGCTCTTTAGTTCTATGAAGATGTGTGTAAGAAAGCAGGCACAGGGAGTCTCTGGTGGCTGGTTAATGTCTCTGGTGGTTCATGGTGATAATAATTACAGCCCTAAAACCAAGATGGGCAGAATTCCCCTCTCAGGAATTCCAACCTTAGCAGTCACTGCTGTCAGCAGATTGCCCAGAGCCTTTGAGCTCAGGTGAATTTAAGCAATCTGATGATGCACTTGCCCTCTTGGGACCATCTAAAGCCATTTTACACCCCTGTGAGTGCCTGGGGTGTCCCCCCAGAGCTGTCAGCCATGGCACAGCTCCTCTGAGGGGGATTGGATAATGTAGAGATGTTTCAGCCCAGCTGCAGGGACAATCCCCTCTGTCAGTAACAGTGTTCAAATATTTACCTAATAATTGCCTGCTTTCTCTTCTTTCCAGGGTTTCTTTGTGTCAGTATTTTACTGCTTCTTGAATGGTGAGGTAAGTAATTCACCCCTGGGAGGTGGAATTTGTTTGGGTGCCTGATTACAGAGACCTGAGATTTTTTTTACAGGGGGTCCCAGTCCCATCAGTCTCTTGTAGAAGGCTCTTAATGTGCACCTGAATTTTCCAGCCTTTGTCCTCAAAACTAAATCAATTTCAGACTATTACCTGTGAGATCAGGGCAGAGGGAAAGAAGTTTTGCCAGATAATAAATTTTCTGTTCTTCATCTTAAGACTTCTTTGAAGTTACTCATTAATTTAAAACTACAATTTCTGGGCATAGCTAATTACTTCTGAGCTGTACTCTGGTTAAGGATATGCTGCATACCCATTTTTATAGTACCATGCTGATCTGAGTGAGTTTGTCCATGTGGGTCACTACCTCTGAGTGATCACTGCCTGTTGCCTTCAGAAAAGAGGGTTGAAAACAGATTAAATCAGAATTAATATGAGGTACTGCTACTCAAGCAAGAAATGCTTCACTAATAACCCTCAGGGTTTGACTTCCACCCCAAAGTGTGAGAGATTTAAATCTTTCCCCTGCTTACATTGTCATTGACTCATTTACCTGCATTAAAATGTGTCATCTTTGTCCAGCTAAAATTTTAGTCTCTGCAGAAATCAATTCCATATTTCATTATTCCTGCTGTATTGGTATAAACTTTGTTTGTGCTGCTTCTTAATTTCATTGTGGGCTATGAGAAAGAATGGGCATGGCTTAAAGAGGCAGAATTTTATTTTAAATATTTTCATTTTACAAATTTATTTTATTTTTATTATATTTCTTTGTTTTATTTTACATTAATATTTTTCCCTCTTCCTCATTAATTCTGAGGTGATGCTTATAAGAAGCAGCTCAGTTTTCTGAGCTAAGCACATCCACTTTTATATCCTGGCAGGAGGTTTCTCTGTTCTCTTTCCAACTTTCCTTCCATAAATTGTCACCATTACATTTGCCTCTTAAAAAACAGGGAGTTTAAATCTTTCTCCAAAATACAGGTGCCTGTAGAACTGCATTTGCCTCAGGCTGTGTTAGGGGAGGTTTGGGTTGGGTATCAGGGAAAGGTTTTTCCCCAGAGAATGGGAACATTCCGAAGGCTGCCAGAGCTCCAGGAGTGTTTGGACAACACTCCCAGGGATTCCCAGAATTCCCAGAATGTCTGGGTTAGAAAATACCTTCAAGGTCATTGAGTCCAACCCAGCCCCAACAGCTCAACCAAACCCTGGCCCCCAGTGCCAGATCCAGGCTTTGTTAAACACACCCAGGCATGGGGACTCCACCACCTCCCTGGGCAGCCATTCCAGAACTTTATCACTCTTTCTGTGAAAAACTTTTCCCTGCTCTCCAACCTGTATTTCCCCTGGTGCAGCTGGAGGCTGTGTGCTCTGGTTGTGTCAGTGCTGCTGGAGAAAGAGCCCAGGGCCAGCTGAGCACAGGCACCTTTCAGGAGCTGCAGAGAGTGATGGGGGCAGCCCTGAGTCTCCTTTGCTCCAGGCTGAGCACCCCCAGCTCCCTCAGGGCTTCCTCACAGGGTTTGTGTTCCCAGCCCCTCTCCAGCCTCCTTGTCCCCTCTGGATGTGCTCAAGCTGGGATTTTTGGGATGTCTCTGCAGGAGTTGGTCTCAATGGTTCTTGTGGGTCCCTTCCAGCTCGGGATATTCTGTGATCTACTTGTCATATTCATCAGGTCTGCCCTGTTCAAGCAGAAGGAGAATCTTCCTGTAGATAGCAGGCTTTTTTCAAGTCTTTTTTCCTTTTTCCGCTGGTGTCCCAGTGACCATCAGGGGCTGGAACCCAGGCCATGTGATCTCACTGCCAGTCAGGACTTTCTGTCACCCCACTTCCATTTTGTGGCACTCAGACTTGGAGCTGTTGGCTGTTCACAGCAGGTTTTCACTCTTCTGGCTGTTCTGGCATTCTTTCAGCTGTTTTTACTGGGAGAAATATCCACACTTCCCCTTCCCTATACCAGTCTGAAGCTGTCTGTCCAAAGCCATGAGCCAACATCCCATCTCCTGTAGCCTTGATGAGTTCAGACATAATCGACCCTGTCAAAGGAGGGTGATTCACCTCATGCACTTCTAGGCCTTGAGAGCAATCTACTGGGAGATCTGGACTGATTCCAGACCTGACTTTCCAGCTGTATCACACTGGGAGTAGGTATTTCTGAGGGAGTCTGTCCAAGGTTGAGACACCCAGCTTGGGATGTTGATTCATGTCCCTAAACTCAGATATCTGGTGCTGCTGGGGAGGCTGCAGAGGATCTGAGGCATCCCCATGGCTCTTACCAGCTGATCCAGGATCTGGAGAAGATTCTCATCTGTTGTATTTGCAGGGACCCTTGTGGCAGAGAGGAATGATGAATCTGACTCCATGTTCTTAGAATGCTAATTTATTATTTTATGATACTATACTGTACTAAAGAATACAGAAAGGATACTTACAGAAGGCTAAAAAGATAATAATGAAAACTCCTGACTCTTTCCAGAGTCCCAACACAGCTTGGCCCTGATTGGCCAAAGAGTGAAAACAACTCCCAGCAGAATCCAATGAAACAATCACCTGTGGGTAAAAATTCTCCAAACACATTCCACATGAGCACAACACAGGAGAAGCAAATGAGATAAGAATTGTTTTCCTTTTCTCTGAGGCTTCTCAGCTTCCCAGGAGAAAAATCCTGGGTGAAGGGATTTATCAGAGAATGTGAATGCCACACTCATCTGGCTGGGAAGTGGGAAAGCCAGCTGGGATCCAATGGGGTTTTTCAGATGGCTCTTTGGCAGTAATTCAAGCCAGCCAATTAAACCTTTTTGCTTTTGGAGTTTTTTATCAGCTTGGTTTACAACAAGCACCTCCATCTGCTCACCTGAGCAGCTCCAGTCTGGGCTGGCTCTCCACTGCATGCCCAGACACCCTGCTGCCATGTGGGCACCCACAAAAGCTGAATTTGGGAGGGAAATCTTCCCTGTAGCATTTTTTGACATCTAATGTGCAACTTCCACTTGATTGACTAAACCATGGCAACTCTCTGACTGCTTCTTTGAGGTGAACCACAAGTCCAAACCCCCAAATATTAAATATTGTCTATTTTAAAACTGTGAAAAAACTTTGGGTTCATCTTAATGTACTGTGACAATGTTTTTTTGGAATATCAGAAAGCTTTTACAGGATAAAATTTCCTGTTCTGTTCTAGCCTCAGCTTTGCACAGCACTGAAGGGAAGCAGCAAACTCAGTGAATTTTCAGAGCTTTCTGGGTGTGTAATCACATTGTCCAGAACACAAATTTGCATTTCACAGTGCACTATTTTAAAAGCTGAGCTGCTCCCAGCCAGGCATCCCTACTAGAAGTGGTGATGAAGGCAATGCCACTCAATCCCCATGAGGTGCCAGATTTTGCTCAAAAAAGGGAAAAATAACCTGTGAGGAGCAGCCTTTCAGTAGCCTGAAAGCTTCATAGAAATCACTGAAGCCTTGTTGGTATCTCTTCAGTGAGATATCTCTTCAGTGTTCCTGGCTGTGGTGGATGGGTTGATAACTTGCTGTCTCAGAAGGTTTTAAATAATTCAGGTTTTCCAGTTACAGCAGAGCTGGGTTCTTTAAATGCATGTGAAGGTCTTTATCAGCTTACTCATCACCCCCCATCCCAGTGCCAGGCTTTCTCTGAATGATGACACAAGCAAAAAGCCTGGAAAATCCATCAATTTAAGCTTTAATAATGCTGTGATCTCAGCTCCATCCATCCCATCCTGTGTTTGATACACGTCCTGCTGGGCACTTACAAACTGCCAGTAGCTGTCTGTAGTAGAGCTCAAAAATTATGGATTGCCCTCAAAAAAAACCCCAAAATTTCCCTCATAAGATCTTCAATGAGTGCTTCATATCTGGGAGACTTGTCCCTTCACAATTCATGTGTTTCCTTTTGCTATTGGACTAAAAGCTGCTGCATTTAGTGGAAGGCAGAGGAAACACCATTGTGGGTTCCTCAGGTGTGAAAGAATGGCTGTAGGGATGTTCTACTCCCTAGGAAACAACATTAAAAACCCTGATTTGGGTTTGGTTTTTTTTTTTTTTTTCCCTGAGGCTCAGTGTGTGATTTCACTGAGTTTTCTCATCAGGAAGTATTTTTGAGGAAGAAGGAGAATAATAGGGACTAAAATAACAGACACATTCCACATGAGCACAACACAGGAGAAGCAAATGAGATAAGAATTGTTTCCCTTTTCTCCGAGGCTTCTCAGCTTCCCAGGAGAAAAATCCTGGGCGAAGGGATTTTATCAGAGAATGTGAATGCCACACTCATCTGACTGGGAGGTGGGAAAGCCAGCTGGGATCCATCCAGATGTTGCTTTCAGCAGCCACTGAGGGACCCATGCAAAATTCCTTCCCTGTCCAGGCTGGAATTGGATGCAGCCTTTGAAAAGTTGTGATGGATTTTAATGTTCTCAGAATAAGGAGAGCCTACAATTAACACCAGTCCCTTCTGAGGAAAGGAAATTGTGCAATGAATTTACTGCTTGTGTTTTAAAGTGCACGTAGAGATTTTTGCAGTGAGATTTAGTAAATGTTGAGACTATTTCTCAATCTGATGTGAAAAAACACTTGGTTTGGGTACAGGGAAAGCATTAACAGCAGTTACTGGAATCTGAGCAAAAGGCAGAAATATTACTTAAGGCTGCATTTTGATACAGGAAATGGGAGCATGTGTCCTGACAAACCTGCATGAACTGAAAACTAAAGAGGAGAATTCTGCTGGCTCTGGTAGCTTTATGCTGTACCCCTCAGTACAGTTCCCACACTATCTGAGCAGTGCAGTCTGTGTAGCTCCAAAACCTCTGCACAACTAAAACTGGGTTTAAAAATCAAAATCAGCATCTTAAAAACACTCAGGATGTGAGAGGCTGTTCCAAAGTAGAGTTTGCCTACAGAATTGGCAAGGGTTGAACTCGATGATCCTTATGGATCCTTTCCAAGCTGAGATATTTTGGGATTCAGGGAT